TCCCATTGGTGCTGGAGAGCACCCAACGCATGGTGACCTCGGGGATGCTGAGCAGCTGCACCATCACTGCAAGAGGGAATGTGAATACAAAGGAACGTGGTGCAAGAAGAGCGTGGCCTGCTGTCCCACCACGTCCTCTAATCTTGTGCTACACTTGAGAGAAGTGTAGAATAGAGAAGGCAGCCGTCTTCTCGTAAAATAGAGTGGGGAAGGAGGCAGACGGGAGCGTGGTGCACTCACCTCGGTCCAAGGCCTTTTTGATCTTGAGAAACCGCGCAGAGGGGTTGTGATCGTGGAGCACATTGAGCACCAGATGCGGGTATTGCCATATGAGCAGCCCTGAGAAGACGTCTTTGAAGGCGTGGCTGTAGAGCAGCAGCAGTAGGAAGAGCAGGGAGGAGGGATTGGGGCACCAAGAAGCACACTCACCTCGGTCCAGAGCCTTCTCGATCTTGAGAAACCGCGCCGAGGGGTTGTGGTCGTGGAGCACATTGAGCACGAGGTGCGGGTATTGCTGTATGAGCAGCCCTGAGAAGACGTCCTTGAAGGCGTGGCTGTAGAGCAGCAGCAGGAAGAGCGTGGCCTGCTGGGTCACTACGTCCTCTGGCATAGCAGACAGCGTTTCCAGAAGGTACTGGACTGCAGAGAGGGAGGGACGGGATGAGAGGGATAATGGCGCACCCGCTGCTTCTTTCTCTGCTTCTCCTGCGGTGCCTGCACCACCAACACCTGCTTCTGCTGCTGCTGCTGATGCTGCTACATCAAGCCCCATGCTCCCCTCTCCCGCCCTCCCCTCCCCAGCTCCACCCTCCCTGGTTCCACCCTGCCCCACGTCCCCAGCCGCTATGCTGGACTGCCGTAGATTTTCTCCCACCACACCCCTCCCTGTGCTCCCTGCACTTCCGTGCGCTACAGCAGCCACCAGGGCGGGAGGGAGGGGTGCAGCCATGCTCTCACACACTATGTCCCTGATGGCAGCAGCGTGGGAGATCTGCAGGGGGTGGGGGGACAGGGGGCGAAGAAGAGAGGGGGAGAGGGGGGGTGAATTTCCCAACAGCAGCAGCCAGAATGAGAGGGAGGGGTGCAGCTGTGGACTCAAACACTACGTCTCTGATGGCTGCATCATGGGATCTCTGCAGGCGGCGGAGAGAAAGGCGGCTTGTGGGAAGGGGCAAGTGATGGCAAGGAGGGTTGTCCATGAGGAGAGATGGTGAGTGATGGAGCCGGGTGCGAGAAAATTGGGGTTGAATGAGTCTGTTTTTTGAGTCGACTAAAAAAATGGACCCATTATACACAGAAAGGCAGGTTTGGGGAAGGGGCCAAGTGATGGCAAGGAAGGATGTCCAAGAGGATTGGGGAGATGGCAAGAAATGATGGAGCAGGGTGCGAGAAAGATTTGGGGAGGGGGATGGGGCAACGTGTGCCAAGCCAAGTCTCAAAACACAAACGGTAGAGCCATGGAATGAGCATGAGCAGGCCTCTGGAAGGGTGCAGCGGAGGTTACACGTTGGCTTTGTGAAACCCCCTAGTAAGTGACTCACCTTGTCCAGCCATGGCGACCAGCTTCAGCAGGTCCCTCTGGGGGTGCAGCGGGAATTACCCACCTTCGCAAAGCCACCTAGTAAGCTTCTCATCCAGTCCAGCCAGGCAATCAGCTTCTCACGAGGCCTGACATGAGGCCGCCCCAAAAGCGTCTGACCTTGTCCAGCCAGCCACGCGATCAGCTTCAGCAGGTCCCTGTGGGGCTGCAGCGGAAATTTCGCCGCGTGCCCAACCGGCAGCACCAGCTGCCCCCCCACTGTGGGGGTGTGCAGTGTCCAGCCAACCAAGTTCCAACTCTCATTACCGTCTCACCTTGTCCAGCCAGGCAATCAGCTTCAGGAGTCCCTGTGGGGTTGCAGTGGGAATTTCACAGCGTGCCCAACCTGCAGCACCAGCTGCCCCACCACAGCTGCCACAGCTGCTTCCGTCACCTGCCCGAGATTCCCGGGCAGCGGCTTAGGTGTGTCAGCTGAGTGGGTCCTGATGGCGATGGCGCTTGCAGGCTCTGCAGGAGGAGGAAAGAGCGGAGGGAGAGGGGGAGGGGGAGGGGGAGGGGGAGGGGGAAGGGGAGGGGAAGGGAGAGTCTGACTCAAATACAGATTCCTGATGGCGATGAGGAGGAGGGGCGAGGGGGGGGGGGGGGAGGAGAAAGGGGAGGCAAGAGAAACGACAAGCGAAAGAAGAAGGATGAAGCAGAATAGAGTACATTTACTCTGTAATAATCGAGCGAGAAAAAATTATTCACAAGTACTAGCCACAACAGTAGCTGCACCAACTCAACACATACCCTTTGGGATTCCAGGAGGAAGGATCCCCGCAGTCACAGCAGCCGCCTGACTCACTGCGGTACATCACTGGGTGGTGTGTGGGGGGGGGGGGGATATGAACTTGGTTCAGGGAAAGGGTTATTACTGTCCCTCGCCGTCTGTACCACCTGACCTTGACGGGCACATGAACCTGCGAGGTGACTTTGAGTCGACTCAAAAGGCGTTCTGAGGTGCACAAGAACTTGCGATCTTGTAATCTTTATCAAAAGTCGTCCTGAGGCCATCACATGACCAGTCACTCCATCAATCTGCATCACCACACAATCTCATGTGATCTAATGACAGTAAAAACAAAAGTTGCCCATGCAGTAGCCGAGATCTCAGAAAACTGTTTAATGAGTAACAAACGTTACTCAGAAAGCTTATTTTACTATCAAGCTTTTTGCTATGAGTCTCGTTTACACTGCTGCTCATCTCTATCATGGCTAACGTCAATCCAACAATCCGCATCACCATACATGTGATCTAATGACAATGGCGCCTCGAAGTAGCATCCTATTAGGGCAACTATGGTCTCTATGGCAAACCAGCAAAACATTAAGCCACGAAAATACCGTGGTAATAGTTGCTACAGTGGTCATCTATCTCGACCATAACGAGCTTACCGAGACATATCTCCCATGCCCTCATATCTCCCATGCCCTCATATCTCCCATGCCCTCATATTACCATAGTCATGATTGCGGTGGTCCCCCTCCTGAAAGCACTTCACGCAGATGGCACTGTGATTATAACGGGGAGAAACAGGGGCCAAGCAGGCATGCCATTTTACTAATAGTGAATGGTTATAAGGTTATGGTCTATGGGCCACCGAATTCAAAAGCAGATGGATCAATGTCAGCGGTCCACTGAATTTCACGAAAGGGGAAATGGTTACCTGGTGAGAAATGCTTCTGCTATACGCCTTCTAATTTCATGCTAATCCTGATTCCTTTTTTGCAAGCCAGGCTAAAATAGAGCCAACAGTCTAAGGCTCCTTAGAGTACACAGAAGTTGCAAAAGCCTAAGGCGCTACTCCTAATTCCTCACCGAATTCGACTTAAATTCAATTCCAAGTTTGATATCACAGTAATGCATTCGTTCGTAAAGCCTTCGACTACTGCACTTACTACATTTGCTCCAAGTAGCTGGAACCTTTAACCCCTTTCGCGACGCAAAGAACATACCTGGCGTCGTTAATCTGGCAGTCGCGGCACCGATACGCGATCGCGCCGTACGTCCACACCACGTTGCACTGCGACGCGCCGTGCTCCGCCTCCAGTTCCTCTAGATAAACGGCGAATCCGCCGGGATGTGCGCCGCAAAGCACGGTCTCTAAAGCCGCCAGGTCCGAGTCTTTAATCTCCACTATCTCCTCCTGCCACCGCTTTAACTCCATTTTCGCTCGCGACTCGTTAATACCCAAAAAACGTTGACCTTATAACAGAGGTTGCTGCTTCTGGGCATGTGAAGTGCTGTCCTTGGCCGTTTCTCGGGTGACATCAATGTTTTGTTTTTCCCTGGTCGGTCACCGTGCAGTAAACTAAGAAGTTCGCGGCAAAAGACTAACGACCACCTCAGACCGACTGCCTCATACGAAGCAAGGGAGTCATGGAGCCTGGAGCACTGAAAATACCAGAATTCAGAATCTAGGGAAAATATTCATGCTAGGCAGGGAGCAGGTTTCTCCAAGTCTGAAGCCACATAGGAAAATATTCATGCTAGGCAGGTTTCTCCAAGTCTCCAAATGCAAAGCAGATATTCCTGAGTGAGGTGATTTGGGTTCTAAAGAGGTAAAACAATGAATTAGAACGTTTGAGAACGGTAATAAGCATTACCACATTGTAGACCTGGCAGAACCGCCGAGTCTGGTCTGGTCTGCAGCAAGGGCCAATCACAGAGCACCACGAGATTGGACCTTGGGGTTGTACGAATCTGGAAGGCCCTATTCTTTCCACAAAAGTGCAGTACAGTAGAAACTGATTTCTCGTCTGCCTTGACAGGTTCTGACACTAAAGTGTTTCGAGTCCTGCGCAAACTCTGAAATTCGTACAGGAATCGATTTCTTGATTCCAAACCAGCCCTGCTCCTGACCTCTCTGAACCTTGACCACTCTCGAACCTTGTTCTGTCAATCATCCTCCTCCCAGCTTCTCCTTCAGATCACACCACCTCTGGTTGCTTTCAGAAAGCTTGGTTGTTGCAAACCAGCTATGGTTCCCTGCTTGAGGGCTGCTCCTTGGTACCTTCACTAGCATCATGGCTGTGCCGCAGGCGTTGCTGGCTTATCCTCCATCCCGTGAAGGACACACAGGAGCATGCTCCGCTATCTCCTTAAACCCCTCTCACTCTACCCGTCACGGTAACTCGTGTCCTAGACCACGTAGAACATTTCTCCCACATTCGAGCATATCAACTCCTGATACGTTTCAACAACAGCCCCAGTTCCTCTGCTCACGCTCCTCTCATGGAGATCGTAACGGCAGATCTTCCAGATTCTCTCGTCGGTGTGCGGTAGGCCGCGTCCGCGACGGCAGATTACGTTCTTCCAACCACATCCCGCTTTCAGGGTGCTCCGCATCCTCAGGCGAGCCGCTGACGGAGATCTCTGTAGCCGATGGGGATCAGCCGTCTGACGAAGTTGCTGACGGAATCCGTCCGAGTCGCCGTCAATCTTTCAAGGCACACGTCAGAAAGAGCAATGGCGAGAGCAATGGGAGTGGCAGCAGCAATAAGTCGGGCAAAGAAGGGTCTAAAAAGGAAGCTGCTTCTTCAACTCAGCTCTCGGACCAGGGTGGCATCTCCGTCCAGGGGAATTTACCCATTCAGGGTGATTGTGCGAGGGTTTCTTCAACAGACTTCGCTGCCGATGGTTACTATGAGGCCGTACTTACCTCCCTTTCCGCCAAGTACCCAAAAAAAGTTCGTTCCCTTCTCCGACTCCTACAGCATCGCCAGCGAAAACCTCCAAGTGTTACTCAATTTCGCCGACGATTCCTTCTTGATTAGCGAAAAGCAGCTTCTCGCCATCTTTCACCGCTTCCCGTCCCTCCTCACCGCTCCATTAGACCCTGCGTCCGTCCAACGCCGATTGGATCTCTTCCACCGTTACGGTGTAACCCGATCTGCATTTTTCGGCCTCTGCTCCCGCTCCAATATCCTCTTGTTTCCCGAGGACACCCTAGCTGAGAATCTGCGTTACCTCCGGCACGACTTAGGCGTCGTCAGAATCGATAAAATCCTGAAATGCTTCCCGCTGGTTCTTAACCTCTCCCTTCCGAACCTGGAGGAGAAGGTTCGGCAGCTCAGGCTCGCAGGACTAAGTCCGGTGAACGAAGTTCTGGAAAGATCGCCGTTCGTTTTAAGCGCACGCGCGTCGGAGATCCAGCGAAAGGTGCAGCTTGTAAAGCGGATATTAGGGTCCAGCAGCAATGTCGAAGACCCGATTTATTACCTCCAAAAATTCCCGCATGTCCTGCTGGCCCAATATGAAACCATGGAGCGGACCTTCGAGGGTATGGTGGAGTATTTTGGGGAGGAGGATACGCGAAGGCTGCTGAGGCGACAGCCGCTGCTGCTGGGGCAGAATTGGAGCGGAATGATGGACACTCTGTCGAGATTAATCGGCGTTTTTGGGAGGGAGGGCGCCGTGCGGATCGTGAATCAGACGCCTACAGTAATGGCTTATTCTTGGAGCACGATCCAGGATAAGTTATTGTTTGTTACAGAGGTTATGGGGAGGAGTATTGCTGAGATTGTGGTGTGGCCGGCGTTGCTGACGAGAAGTGTGGAGAAGCGGTTACGGCCTCGGTACGAGCTGTTACGGCGGTTACCACGGGAGGAGCAGCTGAGCCTGGGCTCGATGTTTGGGTGCACTGACGAGGTGTTCAGGAAGAGGTATGCGAGGAAGATAGCTCTCCTGGCAGAAAGGGATGGAGGAGAGAAGGGTGGGGAGGAGACTGAGGGAGATGGAGAATTAGAAGCAGAGCCAGATCAGAGATAGCGAGAGAGAGGTGATTGCTGCATGAGGGAGGCTGATGCACAGCACGTACAGCTCCCGTTCTGTGCGAGCTGTTGCGAGCACGGGAGGGAGGCTGTGCGAGCACGAATAGCGAGCACGGGAGGAGCAGAGCAGCGGAGCCTACGTGCAATGTTTGGGTGCACTGACGAGGTGTTCAGGAGGGATGCGAGGAAGATAGCTCTCCTGGCAGAAAAGGATGGAGGAGAGAAGGGTGGGGAGGAGGGAGATGCAGAATTGGAAGCAGAAGCAGAATCAGAAGCAGAGGAGGAGAGATGGAGATGATGAGTGCCTGAGGGAGGCTGGCTGTGTCTGCATGGTAGCCAGGGGGAGAGGCGGAATCAGAAGCAGAGTCCAAAGCAGAAGCAGAGGCAGATGAGAAGAGACGGAGATGATGAGTGCGTGAGGGAGGCTGGCTGTGTCTGCATGGTAGCCAAGGGGAGAGGCGGAATCAGACGCAGAGGAAGAGAGAGGGGGGTGATGACAGTGAGAGTTGGCATGCGTGAGTCGTGACTCTGCCTGCATGTTGAGTCAATCACTCTCATCTGCACGTTTGCTCATGACTCATGAGACCTGCTGCTGCTGTCATATTGATGGGGGCAATTAGCGCTGGCTCACATATTGGAAGTATGAGTTCGGCTGTTCCTCTATGTGCGCTGCACTCGTATTAGGGACTGCTGTGAGGCGTACACGGTAGCTCCTCTCCTCTGCCAAGCACCATGGCCTTGAAAAATAATGTGGGTGGTTAGAAAGAAGTAAGCTTTACTACAGTAAAAGCGCAAGACATGCAATCATGATTCGTAACAGCTAACGTCCTGCTCAAGGATCTTTCTGCTCTGTGTCTACAGTGTGCGGAGGAAGCGCGAAACAAGCTCTATGAAGGGCAGTGTCTGTGTCTACAGCGCGCAACAAGCTCTACGAAGGAAAACGTTGGAAACCCAACCCACTAACAGGAGCCGAATGACCGTTGCTGCCACTCCATACTCTGAACCCTAGTCAAGCCTACGAAGACCCAAGCCCTGGTCTACAGTCCGAGTTGCACAGCTCATGAGAGACGAGCCTAGCCTATGGTACTACCCGCACAGGCCCTGTCCAGGAACAGCCACTTATAGTAACAGCCAATCCTAGTACCCGTAACAGCCAATTCTGTGAGGTATCGATGCCCTGCGGGGGGTAGTGCTAGCCACAGACAAAGGCCGGCGAGAAGCGCTGGCCTGTCACGAGAGCGCAGCCAACACTGGTGGTGGTGGTCTGTACTTGTAGCCCATTTTAGTAAGGGTAAGCTCCGGGAATAGCCCCCTTGGGGTAGTAGTCACACACAAAGGTCTGCCAGTTGTCCTTGCAGGGCGCAGCAGCGCAGCCCACACTGGTGGTGGTGTTCCAAACAGCCTGGCATTAGGAGAAGAGAACGCAGGGGGGCCACGAGGCAAGGGGAGAAATTATAGTGAAGCAGGTGGGACAGAAGAGAGTAAGGGGGCACAAAAAAGGGAGACAGTAACAATATGCAGGGACCGTGAGTGAGAGGTTGAGTGAGTGTGCAGTGCGTGTGCAATGCGCAGTCAACTTTAGTGGCGGTGTTTGAAACAGTCTTAACATGATTTCTTTTCGACATACCCGAAGAAGAAGTGCATGCAGTTCCTCAGCTGCTGCCCCGTGCGCCGGAAGGGGTACGCACCAGTGAGTATCAAGGGTGCAGCGCAACACACACACACACACACACACACACACACACACACACACACACACAGCCACTTCAAAGCGCCACATACCCGGATGAAGTGCACGCAGCTCCTCAGCTGCTGCCCGGTGCAGCCAACGCCAAAGGAGCACGTACCAGTTACTGTCAAGGATACAGTGGAGACACACACACACAGACACTTCAAAGGGGCGCTTGCATTGCAAGGGGCGCTTCAAAGGCCCACGTACCCGGATGAAGTGCACGCAGCTCCTCAGCTGCTGCCCTGTGCACCCAAAGGGGTACGGCGAGCGCGAGTAGCGGACGGCCTCGTCCGTCCATATCTGCACGGCCTCAGCAGGGGAGGTGTTGACAGCTGCGAGCGTGTTCTGGCCATAGCGCACGGAGGAGGGCTCCAGGGTGGTGTTGAAACAGCCTGAGGTGGAGTTGACTAGGCGCTGGGCCCAGGTCAGTGCTGCTGCTGCCACTGAAGGGGGTACAACAGGGAGGGTTGGGGGGGAAGGAAGAGCAAGAGAAGAGGTGGCTTAAGCAGGGGTGGGGAGGTGTTGTGGCCGGAGAGCAGTGACGAGGGCTCTAGAGGTGGTGTTGAAACAGGCAGAGGTGGAGTTGACTAGGCGCTGGGCCCAGGTCAGTGCTGCTGCTGCCACTGGTGTGGGAGAAGCAGGGGAGAGGTGGGAAAGGTAAGGAGAGCAAGAGAAGAGTTGGTCGTAGGGCACGGAGGAGGGCTCTGGAGTGGTGTTGAAATAGGCAGAGGTGGAGTTGACAAATTGCAGCTGCCGTCCCCCTCCCTCAAAGCCTGGGCAACGACCAAAGGGCCACATGACAAAACAATGTCGCATGTTTTGCTCCAGACAAGTGTGGGCGAGGCAACAGCGAACCTCCCGTTATTTGCACGAATTATGTGTTTTGTTCCACACGAGCAGCGAGAGTGCACAGCGAGCGCCTCGTTGTGCGGCTGCAGCCACTCCTTGTTG